TGGTTCAGTTCAGTATACTACTTAGGTAATAAGAATAGAATATACACTAAACCTCATTGCTCATTTTTGTAGACCGCATCTATCAGCTTACTACCTTTTCTAGGAAGTCAGTTACCATCAACCTATTACCCAGAACTTTCTATACCTATGCAACCCAGAGGGAAAAAATGTTACTGTTAAATCAAATCGTACATGGATATACGTGCATAGATATATATGTGTGTGTGTTTATATACAACTACTCTAAAAACAGACATCCAATATTTTGGTATTTTCTTAATCTACAGAAAATTCCAGATCTATGACGTGGTGGTTGTGAACAGTTTTTTTGGTTTTTCACTTTTTTATTGGAGCCTAGTTGCGTTACACTGCTGTATCAGTTTCTGCTATACAACAAAGTGAATCAGCCATACGTATAAATCCCCTCTTTCGGGGATTTCCTTCCCTAATTAGGTCACCACAGAGCGCTGAGTACAGTTCCCCATGCTATAGGGTAGGTTCTCATTATCTATTTTATACACAGCAGTGTGTATATGTCAATCCCAATTTCCCATTTCATCCCACCCCCTGACTCCCCCTTGGTATCCATATACTTGTTCTCTACATCTGTGTCTCTATTTCTGCTTTACAAATAAGATTATCTATACCATTTTTCTGGATTTCACATATATGCATTAATATATGATACCTGTTTTCCTCTTTTCTGACTTACTTCACTCTGTATGACAGCCTCTAATCCATTTATGTCTCTGCAAATGACACAGTTTCATTCCGTTTTATGGCTGAATAATATTTGTGAGCAATTTTTTTCCTATACTCTTTCTCACATTTTTAAAAACCTGTAGAGCAGCACTATTCAATAGCAATATCATGGCAACAACATTATATTTAATTTTAAAATTTCTGGTAGCCACATTTTAAAAAAGGAAAAGTAGATGAAATTATTATAATTTTAATATTTTATGTAACTCAACATATAAAAATACTATCATTTTAATATTTAATCAATATAAAGATCATTGATATATTTACATTCATTTTCTCATACTGTCTTTAAAATAATATATATATATATTACACAGAAAATACGTCAATGTGGAGACTAAATTTCCATCAGAAATACTTTATAAGTATTTAGATTTGATCAACTTTACAGTTAAAAAATAGGTCCATATAACTACATCATTCCAGGCATACCTACAAGCTTTCCAAAAACTAAATGGACAGTTTTTAAATTTAATTAACATTAAATAAAATTTAAAATTTAGCTTCTCAGTAGCATTGAAACCAATCAACCCTTCAGCGCCTTCCTGGGGGCAGACATACCCCACCCTATGTCACCAGGCTCTTGTTTGCAGAAAAGTTTCAGCTGTCCCCAAGTTCTTAAGAGCATATTTAATCAGAGTAATGTAGACAGAAAGGAAAACAGTCAAGCAAGACAAAGTACTAACAGTTCTATTTGTATTAAAACTAAGTCAAAGGCCATTAGTTCCTCCAGAAAGGCTATAGATAATATTCTGAGCCACATTTCTGAGTGGTTTTACAGATACTAAAACCCCCACCAAGTGGAAGAAGTTAACCTCATGCTGACCACAAGCAGGTAGACTCCACACCAGTTGGAACCAGAAGGTTGATGGTGTTAACTCCTGAAAAACCAAAATGTTAACTCCTGTTACCTCACCACCAACCAGTCAGAAAGATACCCAAAAGCTGATCCGGCACCCTATGACCCTGTCCCTCACCTTGCCCTTAAACACCCTTCCCTGAAAGCCATCAGGGAATTTGCATCTTTTGAGCATGAACTGCCCATTCTCCTTGCTTGGCCCCGCAGTGGGTACCCTTCAATAAGTTATCCTCTACTTCACCACAACCTCGTGTCAATAGATTGGCTTTGCTGTGTGGTGGGAGAGTGAAACCAAGTTTGGTTTGGTTACAGCATTAATCATAATTTGAGTGTTCAATACCCACATGGGGTTGCATAGTGGCAGAGGGGGGTTCTAAATCCACATCTACACAACGAAAGAAAGATACCCTACAGAACACCTCCATGCTGCGTGCTAAGTTGCTCCAGTCGTATCCGACTCTAGCCCACCAGGCTCCTCTGTCCATGGGATTTCCCAGGCAAGAATACTAGAGCGGGTTGCCATTTCCTTCTCCAGAGGATCTTCCTGACCCAAGGATTGAACCTGTATGTCTTAGGTCTCCTGCACTGACAGGCAGGCTCTTTATCACCAGCGCCACCAACATCTCAGATATACTCTATCCAAAGGCATTTTTCAGAAATTGAATTTAAAATGTTCTCTCGAAATAAGAAATTTTCTATTTAACTTCTTTTTCCAAAGGTCATATAATATGACCCATGCACTTATTTTGAGAAACCTAAAATACAGTCATCAACTTTAACACATTGGTAAATCTCCATATCTGATAAAACACAAAGACCTCTAGGACACTGCATTTACACAAGTAGAGCCAACTTTCTATTACTTGTTATTACATTCATTGAAGGGTAAAAGTTAATCAAGTGTTCTGATCATTTGTGTCTATGTCTTGATTTATTTACCCTGCTGATAAAGTCTATCACAAACTGGAAAGACTGGAGGTCACTGCAAAGATTTAAAAATCGGGAAGACAGTTTAGGTAAGTAAGTTCAGGTTTCCCCTTTCTGAGCTCTATCTTTTCTAGAAATATAAGGCACAAAAATCCTGTCAAAGTCATTCATTTTTAATTAAACTAGTTCAGAACCAGGAAGAGGCAAGTGACCTTAAGCTAAGTAAAGGTTTGCAAAGGATGTTCTTGCCTCTCACCTGTATAGATTTAATGGTTAAGAATTTGAGCTCTAGAGTCAAGCTGTCTAGAGTTAGAATGCTATTTCTGCTACTTGCTACCAGTTTAACTTGGGGAAGATCACCTAATCCTTCTGTCTCACCTGTAAAATGGCCATAATAATAACAGACCTAAGTCAAAGATTGTTATGAGAGATAAATGCAATTTCATAGCATATAAAACATCTTAACACACAGCACTGATTCTGGCACATACTGTGTGTCCAATAATTATTTCTCTTTTTAGCTCAGAGATTAGGATAGAAAAGATAGAACTTAATTTCAATAAATATCTGTTGTAAATGGAAATAAATGTCCATATACTTTATAAATACAGAAGTGCTATCTAAGCTATTCTTATCCTATGCAAAGTAAGTTTAACCAGTGAATCTATTCAATGTATTTAATAAAAATAAAATAGACCCTCAAAACATGGCTTACTTCACAACGTGTTTTTGTAAAGCCTTTCTCCAACAAACAGACCTACACATATTTCCTTTTTAAAAAGCTGATATGCATATCAAAAGCAAATATATGTTATTTATCTGTCAATATCACTTTGGGGTGATTCATTACTCTGTTCATCTCCATTGCAAGCAGCATCAGTTTTAACAACATGGTCAATAAACTACCCTATGATATTCTACAGAATTCACAGATAAAAATATTAACTCTGTAACAGCTATTTCTCTGATAGACAATTTTTTAATTTTCATTACTATTTCATGCTCCTTCTTCACCTTCTTTGACCAGACCTGCTAATTAACAAAACTGCTTCTTATTGAGTTTCCTCTCTTTTTCCTTCCCCTTCCTCTGTGGTGGTAGAGTCACTAGTAAGTGTTAAAAGGCCAAAAGAGAGATAGCACCAGTAAACAGGAGAAGCAACTAATCCAACAACTGAATAAATAGCCCTAAAATAACCAGAGAGGCCAAATTAAAACTTCAAAAGTTTTATAACAGGTGATTCTAAACAGTCATAAAAATGTCACCTCCATGGGTGGTTATCTTCTGGCCTGTAAAAGGGATGAGAAATATCTTTGAAATTCATCTTATTCTTTAGATTGATTAAAATACAAAGTATATATAAAACTACCATTTCTATAACTAACAAGATTTGTCACTAAAATAACTATTGAAATGCTGATATGATAGGATAAGAACAGCTTTTCAGAAAGACTACAAGGGTGGAGAATTTTTAAAAATAATTTCTCAGAGAAAACATTATTTTTATAATCCTATTATGTGTACATAAAGAGAAATGAATTCACAGTAAAGTATCAAAGCTATAAAAGAAATGCACTTATTCTATCATGAAGCCTTCATTAATATTTCAGTGATGATGTTGCAATTTTCCATGAGCTCCGCTTCTCGATACGTATCAAAATAATCCTAATTACGTTCGATTCTCATGTATCTGTCCTTGACCAAATTACAATTTTGATGTATCCAGCATTTAAAAATTCACACTCGGGAATGTGTAATTTTGTATTGTAACCACCCTGCTGAACCTCAGGATGTTTCTTTTTCACCACTCCCTCATGTAACCCTTCCACTTACTGAAGAGTCTTCCTTCTACAGACTGATCACCAGTGAATTTTGCCTTAAATGTAATATCCCTTGCAACGCCAGAAATGTCTTCAACACCCACACCCTGGTGCTATCTAGTCCCCGCCGGTGCTTAACAAGACGCCCATTTATTTGCACAGAGATCTAGACCCCCGCGGCTGGCAGCGCTGTGCCGAGGCTTTGTCTCCTGCCTGCGAAGGCCGGAGTTGCAGGTACCCGTGAAGACAGTCACGTTACAAACACAAGAAGCGCACCACAACCCCGGAGAGAGGCAGCTCCTCTGGGCAAAGCCCGACAGGCGATCGCCCAAGGCGGCCAGACCTGAGGTAACTGTCCTGGGGTGCGCGACCCGGAGGGGGCCCCTGGGGACGCGGCGCCGCGCAGCCGCCCGTCACCTGCAAACGCCAGGGGGCCGAGGGCGCTAGGTTTTCCGGCCAGCACCCGGCCTCGCGCGCCAGGCCGGCGGGGACCCGCGGGCTCGGTTTCCAGAGCCCCCGGGTCCCCGCGGGGCGGCTCCTTAGGTCTCCGCAGCGCGGCGGCCGGGATCCCGGGTCAGGGCAGACCCTCTCAGCGAGCCCACAGCCCGCCCTTCGCCGCGTCCGTCCTTACCTGACAGCCACCCGCACCGAGCTCTCGTCCGGGGCGCCCCACATGCCGGCGGCGAGCGACAGCCGGCTCCCTGGGCCTCTGCACCGCAGAACGGAGGCGCCGCTGCAGCCGCGGCGCTCGCGCTCAGGAGGCTGGAGCTGCAGGGGGCGGTCGGCTCACCTCCGCCGCACTCCAGCCATGTTGGGCGACTGAATGGAAAGGTGGCGGCGGCTCGGAGGCAGGCGGAGGCGGTGATTCACTGCTCGCGGGCGCCCGCCCCTTCTCCCCAGCTCAGCCCCCAGGACTGGGGCGGAGACGAGGCGCGCTGAATGGCGAGCTCGGCGGTGGCGGCGGAGCCAGCAGGCCGCCGGCGGCCTGCTGCTGGCGGGGTGAGTGCGCCCTGCCCCCTCCGATGGGAACGCGGCCTGCGGGCGGCCGGGCTGAACCCTCCACGCCCGCCTGGACTCTCCCGCTGCTGGCCCGCACTGCGTCAGCGGCGGCCGAGCCGCCGGCCCCACCTATAGCGCTGGCCGGCCCGCGCCCCGCCCTGCCCTCGGTGGGCACTGCCAGGCGCTGCTTGCCGGGAGGCGCTCGGGGGAGGGATGCCGGCCGCGGGTTGCCCACGCCCGGGGTGACGAGCCCGGCGCCCTTGCCGGCTGTGAGAACGCCGCAGCTAGTGCCCGCCCTGCTGCAGCCTGCGCCTTCGAAAAGCAAAGCTTGCGATCTGCCCGCTGCCGCTCTGCTTCGCCTTTGTCTCCACCCTTAGCTTACTGTCCTCTCTGAAGCCTGGACTCTGACCCTTATCCCAGCCCCCTCTGAACGCCGTTCTTCCCAGGAGTCAGGCATTCAGACTAAACCCAGCTCCCTGGTTTGGCCACTGCCTCTGGGCAGCGGGGTTGTTCTGCAGTCCATCGCCTGTGGGATGTGGTAATGATTGACTCTTGAGACCCTTGAATGCCTTTCTGTGAAATCCTTTCTACCCTGGTCAATGAACTGCACCCTGGTACTGCCAAGAGTCCCCAGAACTGTATATCCACCAAGACCTGCTGTGTAGTACATCCTTCTCAACTGACTTTCTTTCCCTTCTGGCCTTCAAAAAGCACCTCCCAATCCCGTCATTATATCAACATTGACCCACTGTGATTTCTGCTTGTGGCTATTGTTCTTCCCCATGCCTTTAGATAGCTTTGTGGAAACAGCCTTTATTAACTTTGCCACAGAGTTATCTTTTGTGGGTTGCCCCATATATATACGCGTGTATGTGTGTGTGTGTGTGTGCGCGCGCGCGCGTGCGTGTGGCTTCATATGAAACAGTATAATACATTAAATGGCTCCACCCAAATAAAGACAGTGACCCAAGTACCAACAATGGCACATGTAATCATCCATATCAGAGATACAGCAGCGTCGGTCAGGGGCAGTGGCACGCATTGGGACATACAGTAAGTGTTGAGTGATCTTAAGTGAAGGCCTGTGTGATATGTAATAACAGAAGTTTTAAATTTATTCCATCCCTTGACCTCAATACTCTTCTGAGTCCTGACAGGCATATAAGTAGGAAGTAAAGCGGGCAGAGATGGTGAGTATCTTGTGCAGATCCAATTGGTGGCAAAGCTCTCCAATGGCCGCCCTCTGGAGAGCCTCCTTCCCTTCAGTGTTTTGTCTGTCAACAAATCAGAGCATGATTTTCTCCCTCCCTGGCAGTCCTACATTTGGGTGGATCTGGTCTGGCCACCTTGCTTCTTTGATTGATAAAAGCTACAAGGTAGGCAAGTAAAGCTAAACAAATATAGCAAGAAAACTGAAAAGAAATGTATAATTTAAAACCTTTTTATTAAAAAAAAAATCTCATTTAAAATAGCAGTAGTACATTCATATCACAAACACAAGTGTCACCAGAAGCTCGACAAGTAATTTAAGTAAGTGGAGCAAGCAGAGTAAGAACTGTGCTAAAATAGAGAACATAGGCTTCTTACAAAAGTAATGATCCTTCTTGACTCTGGTCAACTGGAATGCAGACCCGATGCTGCCAAGCCTTTTGTTTGCTGATATGTTTGTTACTTCTCAAGAGATAGAGAAAAGTAAGACTTTTATGTGAAAATTCCTTAGTTTTAAACATCAATAACTAACTCAGCACTATATTTGCATACTATGCAAATCAATCAAAATAGGTCTGGGGCCAACCTTAATCCCAGGCCATCAGTTTGGAAAAGTGAAAGTGAAAGTCACTATAGTCCATAGAATTCTCCAGGCCAGGATACTGGAGTGGGTAGCCTTTGGCTTCTCCAGGGAATCTCCTCAACCCAGGAATCAAACCCAGGTCTCCCACTTCGCAGGCGGATTCTTTACCAGCTAAACCCAAGGGAAGCCCAAGAATACTGGAGTGGGTAGCCTATCCCTTCTCCAGCAGATCTTCCCAAGCCAGGAATCCAACCAGGGTCTCCTGCATTGCAGGCAGATTCTTTACCAACTGAGCAATCAGGGAAGCCCGCATCAGTTTGGAACTTGTAGTGAAAATATTAACACCAGTAATAGTTGTGTCTTTGGATACATGTTGCATATGGATTCAGGAAGAGGTAACATGAAAATTCAAATTCCTATTGTGATTGAGTCAGTATTTTTCTCCCAAATTTCAACATTTTTAAATCAACTATATTTTTTTATTTGCTTCAGATTCCTTATGTCTGCTATAACCCCTTTCCTTTTGAATCTTCTGATTAATTACCTTAAGTTGAAGAAGATTCTGAGGAAAGAGCTTCTACCGTAAGAGTAAAAATTCCTTTCCCAATTATTTACTCAATAAATATTTAATAAGTGACTGCAATATGCATGTGATGCTGGGCGCTAGTTATATGGAGAGAATTAAGACTGTCTAACAGTTTAGTTCAGAAAGACAAATTTTAAAAGCTGTAAGTGCAATAAAAGAAATTATGAGAAAAGTATGATAAATTCCATCTGGAAGGATGAGGATTTCTTCAGGTATAGACTACTCCGGATGATCTCCCTGAGTCCACTATTGCATCCGCACTGCAAAAAAAAAAAAAAAATGATCTCTTAAAGCATCAGTCATCTATGTTATTCCTCTGCCTGAAACATTCCAATAGCTAACTAACACAAATAGAATGAATTCTTCTAGATTCAAAGCTTTTCACACTCTGGCCTCTCCAAACTCTAAGCTTATCTTTTGCCACTCTAAATTTTAAAAACTACTTTTTGGTGAAATTAGCCTTTTTTCTTTTTCTTGAAAACAGTTTCTTTGCCTTAGGACGTTTGCTCTAACTGATCCCTCTACCTGAAATGTTTTTTCCCTAATCTTCCCTTGGTTGGCTTCTTTTGGTCTTTTAGATATCAGCTTAAATGCAGTTTCCTCAGAGGGACCTCTCCTGATAATTCAGTCTAAAGTAGCACTCCCACAAGTCCAGCTCACGTGATTTGCATGGTCCAGTGCAAAGTGAAAATGCAGAATGTCTTATTATAAAACTAATGTAATAATGTTATTAATGTTAGTAAAAAATAAAAGTTTCTTCCTTTCTTCTGAGTTTTCCCACTCAACTTGTCATGCCTTTTCTTTTTTTTTAACTTAGTATTTAATGTTATTTTCTATAAAGAAAAATTAAAAATTTTAATTATTGGCAAAATTTACTCTTCTTTATATTGTTTAATGCCAACTTTTAAGTATGAATAGAAAAGCACTTAACTCATTTTTGGAATTATAAGTTATACAATTCCTCTAAGATGGCAGAGATCTTTTCTGTTTTATTCACTAATGTATCTGTAGCTGCTAAAACAGTGTCTGACATATAGTACAGGTCATTAAATGTTAGCTGAGTGACTATGTGACTTTGGGTAAGATGCTTCTTGTATGTATTTTCGGCCTTATAAAGTTGTTTCGTAGATTGAGAGCTTTGCTTATCACATGTTAATCACAGCACTGACACAATAAGTGCACAATAAAGTTAGCTATAAAAAGAGCTACATACATATTTAATACACAATATAAACATATTTATAAATACAAATTGCTTTACAAAGCAGGTACTGATGCTTTAGCTGCACCCGCCTAAGGTGTATTTGGACGAAAGGTACCTTCGAGCTTACCAGATGGCGCAGTGGTAAAGAATCTGCCTGCCAATGCAGGAGACGCAGGAGACTGTGGGTCAGGAAGATCCCCTGGAGCAGGGCATGGTAAGCCACCCCAGTATCCTGTAACTCACCAAGCTCCTCTGTCCATGGAATTCTCCAGGCAAGAATACTGGAGTGGTAGCCATTCACCTCTCCAGAGGATCTTCCCGACCCAGGGATTGAACCCAGGTCTCCTACACGGCCGGCAGATTCTTTACCAGCTGAGCTGTCAACGAAGCCCATCACACCCTAAACAAGCATCCAAAAGAAAGCTACAACATGCACGAGAACAACCATCACCAGTTTTTTCCCTCTAGACTATCTACTGTGTGTTTTATTTTGGTTTCCACATTCTAATCAGTCATTAAAAGTTATTTGCTTCTTCCTTTTTGCTTCTAGCAGAAAGACTAAAAGAAATACTACTGATTACAACTCTATGTACAAAACAGCTGGCTTTGGAAGAGCATGCCCAGACAAATATCTCCTCAGAAATCTTTTTGAAAAAACCCTTTAGAAGACTAATCCTTAATACCATAATCAGAAATATCAATTTTCCTTCAGTGATTAGACTTTTTATACACTGTCCCTATTAATAACAATACTAAGCGTGTATAGGCTTTTCCACCATGCTAGTGCAATGTGTTAAGTGACTGACATGCATTATTTCACTTGATTCAATGATTCTAGTAGATGGGTACAATTATCACTTTTTGCATATTACTCATTTTGCATATGAGTAAACAGAAGCCTCCCCAAAAGCCTCTATTAAAATCTTGTCCATGTGTCAGGCCCAACTCAAAAAATTACCTCCTTCTTCAGACTTTTCCTGATTTCACTCCTCCTCTGGACCAGATGTATATTATTTTTCTTCTTCCAGATCTCCTTTGTACTTCATATATGTCTTTGTTGTTGTTGTAATCATTACTTTTTAACTCCTCAACTAAATCATAAATTCCTAATGGGTGGAGTTTGTGGAAAATTCTAGAGTGCAGCCAATGCTTCCTTGTGTAAATCAGTGATTACCAGAAAGACATGGTATGCTTTCAGTACAGAACAAGTTTTCACTGCAGATCCCCTGC